TTTCAGCTAGGATATGGAAAAGATTATATTGAGGTTTAGTCTAAGGACAGCTTAGGGTTATATTGACCTAATAACGGAGATATTAGCGTTTTGGTCCAAGTCAGATCAGGGTTAATTTGGGGATTTTTTCACGTTAGGTTTAGGTTAGGCAAAGGATTAGGGTTATTGTTTGGGTTAGAAGACCTAGATAATTATGTGCATAGAATGTATTTAAATTACTCTCTTGATTCTCCAATGCAATAACTAAGAGGTATTTTTTTTCATGCGTCAGAGAAAGGTACCCTGCGTAAACGTTACACGGCTATTAATTCACTACTTTCATGAATAAATAAATATGCGCAAAAATCTCCTTTGTCATGTGGTTGGTGAGTTCAAGATCAGTTGTCCGTTGGTACTTACTGGTGCTTAAAGTTTAACTTTGCCTAATTGCCCTTTATTTTTTCATATAAATTGACTTGACAAGAAAGTGTGTGATCAGACTGTGCTCTACATAGACTGCAAAAATGCATCAAATTCTTCAGATAATCTCCGTCTTCTAGTAACACCATCCGAATTCATAAAAGGGACTGATTGTTTTAAAATAAAAGATACATATAGGCAACTTCCCACTTCGTCCAATTCTGGATAGGGTTCCCCGTACCATTCAATAGCGAAATGGCTCACTGACATTTTAGAACCTGTACGAAAACGAATGTGCCACTATTCACTTCGTGACACTTTCCAATTCGTCGATTACATTAAAGATATCAATACAAAGAACAAAACTATGCTCTTCCTCGACATTGAATCACTATTTACCAACGTTCCACTCACAGAAACTGTCTCTTATATTTGTCACTATATCGACGAAAATCAGCTGAACATCGGATTACCGACGACCTGTTTAAAAGAACTACTACTGAGATGTACACTCAATGTGCAATTCACATTCAACGATATTATTTACAGACAACAAGATGGGATCCCAATGGGATCTCCACTGGGCCCATTACTAGCAGACTGCTTCATGGCAAGCCTCGAGAACAGCCCACTCAAATCAACCATCGACAATTTCCAGTTGTACGTTAGATATGTTGACGACATCTTTATCATCTGTGATGACGGTCACGATCTCAATCAACTACTGCAAATATTCAACAAATGCCATCCAGCCACAAAATTCACTTTGGAAACTGAAAATGAATCTAAAATCCCTTTTCTTGATGTTGAGCTTACAAGGAGGGATGACGGAACTTTAAGAAGGTCAATCCATAGGAAACCGACTTGGAACGGACAATTAACAAGTTTCTACAGCTGGGTACCAATCAGTCGGAAAAGAAACCTAATTTAATCCCTTGCCACTCGCGTCAGACGCATCTGCAGCTCCGACACCATGGAAGAAGAACTAAACTTCCTGAGGGAAATCTTCATACAAAATGGCTACCCACCAAGATTCGTAGACAAAAACATCAAACAGAAAAACCAAAAGCAAGAGACACCATCCGTGCCAAAAAAGATACTTTATGTGAACCTAGACTTCAAAGGAGACCTACTTAGTGACGTCCTCAGAAGGAGAATTTCCCCCTCTTTAGGAAGAACTTTCCCTGCGGCAACACTAAGAATAGTGTTCTCCAGTCGCCCGCTGATCTGCAGAAACCCAAAGGACAAGATTCCGCACATGACCACTTCTATGTGTATATATCAGTTCACCTGTTGCTGTGGAGCCAGGTACATCGGTCGTTCAACGCGCATCCTGTCAAAAAGGGTCAAAGAACACTATCCAGCGTGGCTACAGAAAGGAAATAATGGCCATATAAGGAGTGCAATAATCGAACATCTCGTCAACACTGGTCATTCCATCTCAACAAACGCCTCCTTCAAAGTAATCTACAAAGTGAAGAACAACCTTCCAAAGACAGTACGATTCCGTCTTCTTTGCATCGCAGAAGCCCTAGCCATCCAGTTGGTGGGACCAGAACTATGCATACAAAAGAAAATTATCCAACCACTTCTACTCGCATGGTAACAACTCTGTTGATTTGACCTAACTTTTGTTTGTTTGTTTGATTTGACCTTACTTCTGTTTGTATGCTTATTTTTCTAACTTAAAACCCTTGTGTAATTCTGTATATTATTTTGTTTCCATGTACACCCTTTGAGCACACAATCATTCATCAAACTATTCATGCCATTACGTAACTCTTATTTAACAATCATTTATGACAACTCATCACTTTTGTTACTATCCTCTTATCAACATCCAAGTCATCTGAACTTACTAATTGTATTTTCGTTTGACAAATTTAATGTATACACACACACAAAATAACCATATATATTTGCGATTGTACAGCTATGAAAAAGAATTCGCCGAAGAGACTCTTCGCTGAACTACTTATCTTTTGTCTACTAATGTTCGAATGAGAATTATTCATGAATTAAAATAAAATGTTTCAACTTTTAACTAGTAAACAAATTATCCTGTCATAAATTTCAACGCATATATAGTGATTCCATTTTGTCTACAGTTTTAGTGATTGCTTTGGGCGATTATTATCCATGTGCAATGAAAACAGATGCCTAGAATTAATCCCCAGGGAAGTGATGATTATGTTCCATTGGAGAGCCTTAATCCAGAGTGAAATAGCTGTCTTGTACTTACTGGTTTTCAAGTTTTCTCTTGGTGATCTCCCTTTATATCTTGAAATTTTTCTTTTTGGCTAATAGATTATTCTTAATCAAGACTGTGTTAAATAATTCCATAACACCTTAATACACCTCACTGTAATGGACAAATTATAAGTACACTGACAGCAACTTCAATCTGATGTGGCTGAAGCGTTATTAGCAAGGACAAAAAGCTACTTTAATGATGACATAAGGTCAAGAAGACAAACCGTCTATTAGTCCACTTTGATGTTAAATATATTTACAGACAATTGGCAGGATACCCTGCAATTAGATTTCATGCCTGCTGGTGATTATCGACTCGATGTAAATGCATATCTATCCTTCTGAGATTCGAATGCGTATTGCGTAAAAATGACGTTGGAAAAATTTCTGTTCAATCCTGTGAGTTCCTAACAAAGGACTCCGAGAGATAAGCTTTAAAGTTTCAGTAGCAGTTGTAGGGTTCCTTTTCACCAACCTTACTATTGGCTAAACGAGATTTAGGAATATGTCAACCGGGAATCAGATAATGACTAAGTGTGTGGCTGAAAACCATTCTTCCACTGGACCACTGACAAGCAATATAAGAATAGAACTTGTGAACTGTGGTAGATTATAATGCCATTGTGGATAAAGTTTATTTTGATAAAGTCTCACAGTATGCTATAGAGTAATATTTACTGATGATCACGTTTCCAGCACAATTTATTGCTAGTAGTCATCATATGAATTTACTTACACAACTTCCCAACTTTGTTTATATGATTTTATATTATTTTTCACTGCTTGATTTGATTGGTAATAGTATTTTCCATATTTCAGGTATGAGTGATGAGTCATTCCTATTGCATTCCTATTGTTGACTGCAGATTCTATGAACAAAGATTCAGTAACAGACCTCTCTCTCCACCTTTCAAGTATTGGTTACAGCATTTCACCATAAGCTGACACTGGCTAGAGAACCATTGAAGAACCAAAAAGGGAGTACTGAACAGACAGTTGTTTCGTTCTAGTTTGGGACTCTTCACCACCACGAACCCGCCGTGGTTCAAACCTACTACCTTATGGTTTCAAGGCTAGCGAACTCGTAGACCATTTAAGCCACAAAGATTTATCGAAGAATAATCGTATTTTTGCTGTCATTAGAGGGTTTTGTGAATGTGCATCTATCAAGAAAGTTTCCAGTAGCCATTGTTGAGTTATACTATAACTCAACAATTAGTTCTATGCATTCAGACCACAACGAGTCAGTTCTATTTTTTACAGTGGTCAACAAGTCATAGGTGACTCGTACACCATGATGCACTTTCAACTTATATTTGATAGTTGAAGACAGTTCTCAGGAAAACTTGCACCCACGTCGCATAACCCACTTTTTAGGAAATTCACTTAAAACACTTTTCATATATATATATCTGACGTATTAGCTATACTAATATTCGTAAACAAACACTCAGTTAGTATTTTAAGCCAAAAAATGACTTTTATTCCTTTTTGTTTTACTCCGAAGTCACCTCAAAATATAAAAAAACAAACAAAAAAAAACACAAATATGAGATAAACTGATAAAATCAAAGGTAGTACCTTTCAAATGGAAATGGAAATGGAAAATCAGCAGAAAAGGGGAAAAGAAGCAAATGACAGCAGATATGATCCCGCCAACCTCTTCTCCCGCACTATCCAGTGTTTTACCGCTCATTGCATGCTGTCTTTATATACGGGAGTGACTAAAATTTAATGTAAAATTACAAAGAAATGGCCAAAAATGATAAGAACAGAAATCATAGAAACAAGCTGACCAATGGAATAACAGAAGAATGACAATAATTGAACTAAAGAAGGACTGTACATTGAATTATATATAAATATATATATATATAATCAAAGCAGTTTGTTCCGCTTCAAGAAAGGGACATAGAAAGGGATAGGCACTGCTTATCTTTGGTTGAAATTCCGCTTCAGAATGGCGTATAATGAATAGAAATGAGTTGAGTCAAAATGAACATCAATGTGTGTACGTGTGTGTGTCCGTGATTGTGAAGTGCGCAGTAGGTAGTATGATTGTTGTATGAAAGTTTTAATGTGATTAGCAATGGAAAAATTCTTTTGTGATAAAACAGTATCAGTTAGGAGTATTAGTAATAGTATATACAATTCTTCGTTGTAATAATTTGAAACGTTGCCCAAATGACAAACATTTTCTTTGAATTTATCATGCTACTAACTAATGAATTAAGTAACATGATGCTAACTTAAAAAAAGTGTAAATTGAAGAAGGCAAATAAAATGAATCAACAAAACGAAATATATCTGTACTAATGAATGAATTAGTTCATTAATTAATTAATTAATTAATTGGTCAAGCAACAATTCGCTCGAGTATTACTCTGACTGCTGTCGCTTGTTTTTCGATCCAGTTGAACCGTATCCTTGTGACGTGAAGAAGAATGCTGAATATTTTGAGACAGAAAGAAAAACAGGATTTTGTAAGAATTTATTCATGTTGTTTTCAGTGGGGTGGGGGATTGGGTGGTAGATAATTGCGGACGAAATGGAAGTCTGAGCCACAATCTGGATTTGAACCAGTAGGCTCTAAATTACTGGTTTTGCTGCCCTGCTAGCTTATGAGATAAGAGACTCAACTGCTAACCAGGACTTCACTTCACTGTAATCATTATGAGTAACGCTCAGTTTTCATATCAATGAATGGCATATCGCTGTCTGTTTGTCACTGAACTACATACTCGGGTAAATCTCCTCCTGGCTCCTAGCGTAAGTGATCAAGTAAGTTCAAACAGACGATATCCTTTAGACGTTATTCGTGTCCCGCATTCTTTATTCTAATGGTTTATCAGTTAAGCTTGTTTTTACGGAAATACGTCATTTCTTCAACAGTCAGGGACTAGAGGATGTTTCATATGCACTGCTCTTCCATTCACGTCAAAATTTCATTTTTATTAAGCTACCATGCAAAGTTAAATTAGACGGGGTGCACCATGATGCCAGTGACCCCAGTGTTTAGGTCATCTCGACCTGGCTAGTAAACACTACTGACTCGTTGGCGGTAATGGTTCTCAACTACCTGCATCAATCAGTCAGTGGTTTAAAACATCAGAAATATATTGTATGTTCATTTTCTATAACTGACACTGAAATTGCCTTCGGACCAATTATTCGGTCCTTGGGATTACCCGTTCTGTGAAACAAACTGGAGAAATAAATGTGAATTCTTGTTTCTAGAGTAATTCTACACACACTGATGGTCACGCCAGTTAAAGCTGTAAAATAATAATATACCTTGAGTAATATGTTGGATGGTGACTAGCAGTGTAATTCAAGGATGTGCATTTTGTCCTGTTTGGAACTCGTCAGGTGTAGGTGATGGTGAGTCATAGTGTTTCCCCCGAGGCTCGCACCCGGCACTTCCCTCATACACCAAAGCTCTGTGCACTAATATTATTGGACATTGAGAGTCACCTTTTTCTGTGACGACTGTCAGCTGTTATTTATTTTTCATCCAATTTTGATTTCCCTGTTGATTGATTGGACCAGAATGTCCGGCCTTTGTTGACATGTCTGCAAATAGTGGGACGTTGTCATGGCTCTAATGGACCAACTTATCTAGTGGGTAACGTTTTAGCGTTTTAATTGATGGTTGCTGTGTCCGAACCTCGGAGGAAACACAGCCACTCACCACCACCTCAATCTGACGAGTCCCAAATTGGATGATTTGCGCATCCTGGATTCTGCTGCTAGTCACCATCTACAAAATTACTTGAAGTTAATCGTCAGACATCGTCAAAGCGTCCGCATCAGATGGTGACAAACCAAAAGAGGCGGATATTTTGGCCCATTCAATCAAAGGGGAAATCGAAATTGAATTTAAAGCAATGACCTGCTTATGTTATCATAAGTTTACATTACGACAACTTTTTTTGAAGAATTATGCAGAGAAAGGAATACTTAGATATTACATAATTCCTGGATTTACCTATCTTATCTTCAAATAGGAAGGATTATTTTTAGAGTGCCTGAAGCCGTCAGTTAAAAGAAATTTAAATAATTTTTACAATAATGATTTCACTATCTGTAGTCAGAGTTGATTTTTACAAAGTAGGTGACTAACTAGATTCTCGACTGATCGATTCCTAACGCATTATTCACTTGGTGGATATTGACTAGCAGTGGAATCCAGTATGAGCATTCCGTAATATTTAGGACTCGCCATCCCCAATGAGTGATAGTGTTCCCACTGAGGCTCAAACCTTGTGCCTGTAGTTTCAAGAGTCAAGGCGCTATCCACTAGAACACTTCGGTCACGAGAGCCAGCCATCTCTTCTGCTACGGGTCTTATTAATTATTTAATTGAGTTTAGATTCTCCCGTCGATTGATTGAACCGGAATGCTCGGTCTCCGCTTGACATTTCGTCTCCTTGTGCAGATGCTTCGACAATATCTGGTCATGTAACCAGACAACATTATTGTATTAAAGTTAGACCGTAAATTGACTTCAGTTAGAGAACTCTTGAAGACCAGAGAAAAGTAGACATCAAGACTCTTCAGAAATACACATCCAGGATCCCCCAGTGGATTGAACTCAGGACCATATCAATAAGCGCATCCTGTAACCTGAAGATGTGGATTTATTTCCTAGCGGAGGAGGATATACGTGTATACTGTTGAAGAGTCCGAAACCACGACAAGACCGCTGTCCACTACTCGCCGGTTTTCATTGGTTCTCTAGATGATACCAGTTTGTCGTTTAACTTGAAACCAGTCAAATCCCTCCAAATAAACACTTGAAATGTATCGTATCAGTCGTTCCAACCAATGATGGATTTCGACTAATACATCGGAAAAAAGGAGATCGTTACTTTCGTTATCTTTCAACTTGGTCAAATATAATTTGTAAAATCTGGCGACTTTTTATCGTTTCCATTAAGAATGTAAGACAAGTTCACCGGATAAAATATTGGGACTACTTTTCGCAATACTGCATGAGATTTACGCATTAAATGTATACATTTGATGATAATATTACCGGAATAATTAATATATACATGTATGTGTAAAACGTACAGAATTTGACCAAGAATCGGAATCATTATAACCATCAGGATTCATTTCATACCAACGCTGAAAGAAAAGAGGAAAAAATGATTCAATCAGCAAAGGCATGACAGTGTAAAATGGAATAAATATTTAACTCCAGCTTCAAGCTTCTGCTTTGAAGTTTCAGCAGCAGAGGTGATGGTTCTTTATGAGGTAAGGTCGCTAGCCCCATGCCTGACCTTCTCTCACTTCCAGCCTTACTGTTAAAGCTAGTAAACCAGGTGAGGACATATGAGTGTATCGGCCAGAAATTGAATCTCGACACCTTGCATGACTGGTAAGCTAAATTTCTTATGTCGAGGAAGTGAAGAAGTGCGGTAGTTCGAGTTGCCAATCTTTATGCACCACATAAAGCAACAGAAGAAAGTAAAGGAGGTTCAACAGAACGATAAAAAGAAGAAATGTGCTGGAGAAAGCATGGCAGCAAGGAAAAACAATAAGGCTTTAATGGATATGTAAGATCACAAAGAGTGAATGCATCTGCGCCATCGTCAAGAACCATTTCGAGACATATCACCGATTGTCTCTAGACATCGCTTCTTAACATCTGAGGACCTCAACCAGTCAGTCTACATCCCTTATATGCGTCGGTAGCACAGAGATAGAGTGCTGGCCAACCACGCATATGGTTTGGGGTTCGATCCCCGGCAGACGCACACCTGATATCAATGGCTGGCCTGAAAAATTTGGGCTATCGATATCACATGCTGAAAATTCCATACTCCTGCCAAAAGGTACTGTTTGGAATCAAGCTATAATCAAAAGGTTAAAAAATATGTAACCCGAACTAACAGTCAAACACTTCGTGGGCTGATGCTAGTTTGAACGCCACCTGATCAATCCCATGTCAGCTAACACTGCTTGTCTAGAAGGACAGTGGCCAGTCATGCGCAACATATGCCCTAGACTACTCAATTAGCGTGCCTTAACAGCCTTATCGATCGATTTTCTCCCCTCACCTAACATCCGACGCCTAAGCCCAACATTATGCACTTTATTATACCACCTAACATGCACCAGAAGAGCACAGACACCTATGATCAAAGTCAGCTAGCCTTTTCATCATACGTCCCGTTTTCAATGACCATGTCTCACAGCCATTAAGCGGGATGGAGAGGATTGCTGAACAGTAAAACGTCTTATGATCGATGGCGGATATCACGCCTATGCCACATTTGGCTTAGGCTGACAAGCACTAAACGAGCCATTTGTATTCGTGTAAGATGTCGTCAGTGATAAGCCCCTTGGGGACGGTGAAACTCCCCAAAAAAGTGAAGTGGTCAACATGTTCTCTCACTTATCTCTCTCTGTGTCATTTTAAGCTAAGATTCGATGTAGTCCGTTCCTGTAGCATCACATTACATCCAAAACGATAAAATTACAGAAGTTATGGTTGATAGATCAGTGAATTCCAAAACACGCATGCGCTCTCCTAAAAACCCAAGGTCATGGATTTGACATCTGTCAATGAGTTATAAGTGTACACTGAGCACAAACAAGGTCATGATAATTATATACATTACTGCTTGATTTTTGATGACTTTTCAACTGATGTCGCTTCACCATAAAAAAATCTGTACTTGAGAAAAAGGTTTACCTTGCACAAAACCTTCTAAAGGTATTGCTGATTTTGGTGAAGTTCCCACAAGGAATCAATATCGTTCTGAGTAATCCAAGTGAAAGAAAGTTGCGCTTAACAACACTATTTTGACGTCGTTTCAGAGTGTTTGGCTGTGCTCGAAAAAACCACACTGTCATTCAGTCAGTTAGCTAGTTATTTAATCAGCTATTCAATAAAATTAGTTATTTTAGTTAGTTCGGCAGCAACGAACTGAGAATAGGGTTTCTGAAAGTTCAGCTGAATATGCGTCATTATGAAGAGTGATCGAATTGACAGTGAGATTGAATTATAAATCACACTGACAGTGCATGATAACAGTGTAAAAGACGTGATGTACAATAAGCTGATTTTCTATGGAATATAACTAGTAGACGCTGTGAAGTGGTCACATATAAGGAAAGTCAATTGTTACATAACGATGAAAAAAATGAAACTACCTGTGAAGCAATAACGGTGATAGTGTTAAATGTTCTAATAAAATCAAAGTGTACAAAAAAAAATAAAGTGAAAATGTGAAACACCACTACACTCACTTTTGGTGCACCCCATGTAGAAACCATAGATTCAGCAACTGCTTGAAATAAATTCTGTATATTTTTACCGGTTTTTGCACTGGTTTCAAAAAATCCATGAGCTGCTTGTTGTGATGTCAACTGATATGGAGAGAAAAGCAAACAAACAGACAAAAAAATATAAATGAATAGATCGAGTTCCCTTTTATGAGTTTTAACAAAACTGTAAGTAGACGTAATTCGTCCAACACATATAATAGTATATTCTTTAGTTGAACACTAGTCAGTAACTAGTGTAATGTGTGTGTCTGGTCTTATCTTTGGTGCAGACTAAATTCTATCAGTCAAGCTTGCAATGTAGCCATCATGCCACTAGATGGTTCCTCATCATGGTGTACTTTGAATTGTTGGTATTAGATGGTTGGAGGCAATCGGAAGGAAGCCCTACCTGACCCAGGTTTCGTGCTATTGGCACTCACCGGTCAGCAAGGTGTATCTGCAGCCTAGGTAGAAGGCTTGCTGCCGATTTCCTCCAACCATTTAATACGAGCAATTCAAACTGCACTTTGATGGTAAGCCACCTAATGCATGATGGCCATATTGCAAACTTGACTGATAGAATTCACTCTGCACCAAAGACAAGACCTATGTTCACCCGAAAGCCTGTCTTTGATGCTTCTTTCATCACCAACTTGTTGCTTTTCACTTGCATATCTTCCAGTTTGTTGGAAACCAGACACACATATATCATCGGCAAAAGTGCAGATCCTTCAAGTTCATTGTGTGAGTCCATTTTATGCCTGTCTCCTTGTTTCCCACCGCTGTCTGTCACATTATCCAGTCTACCACAATCAGAGAAATCATTGGAGATACTAGGCAACTAGCCAGCCTTGTCATACTCCCGTCTTCACTTCAAAGGATTTCGTGAGTTTCCTGTTGTGAATTACCTGAAATACAGCATTGTCGTACAACTGTTGTATGAGGTGTATAATTTTTGGCAACACCCCGTAGAAGCGAAGTAGTTTCCAAATCACCTCTCAATCGACTCTGTCTGTTGAAGGCCCCTTTCAAAGTCAATGCAGTTGAGGTAGACAGCTGACTGTCATTCCAATCTCTGTCCATTGATGATACTCAGTGGTACGATTTGATCGACGCATGACTTGTTTTGTGGAGAATTTAGGTAGAAAATATATAAAAACTGACCATCATTTCTTCATATCTTCCTATTTATTTATTTTCCCTCTGTCTCTCTCCATTAATGTGTTTTTCAGCTTTTGTACTATTACCGATTGAAACAAAACAAACCCTTAAAATAAAGTCTTTTGAATATTTCTCGCTTATAAATATACACACATGTGTATTCATTTTACAAAATAAAACCAAAACAACAGTTGAACAGAGAAGAAGAAGAAGAAGAAAGACACTCACTCACTCACCCTTTGACCTTGTTCTGTTGATACCTTAACATCTTTAATCATATCAATTTTATTGGCTACAAAGAAAACTGGCACTGCATCGTCCATGTGCTAAATATGGTTGTGTATATAAAAAAAGGAAAATAGATGCATAAAAACCTTTTTGATTGACTGTGAATAAATTCACTAATAAATAATACGTAAATAATCTGAATTACATACGGAATGCATGAAGACAACTGAAGGGGAAATGAAACTCTGCTTTGTAGTAGGAATCAGCCTGACGGCCTATGGGTCACTAGTTGTGCTCCCTAATGGTTGAGCTTAGAGACATAGCTACTGCAGTGCTTAGATGCCTATTCAAGACTATCTCAAATAGTGTTACTGTCAATTAGCAGTCTGCTTGCTCCCAACCTTCTTGTCCACCATGATTGGAATTGACACAGGGAGAACAATCTGGGCATCCCTTAGGTTTCGGGTGGAACATGAGCTCTTAACACCACATTTCCATTCCATCAATCTTCATTTTCTGTCTGTTGCGTAGTAGTAGTAGTAGATGCTTGGATTCTACACCGACGGAGTACCTTGGTGCTAATCCATTCCGGCCAGCCTGCCATCTGATCTTTAGGATGGAACCAATGAAGGCAGTTGTTATGGATGAAAGTTTGAAACCAAGTCTCTGAATTATTCAGAAGGATTGAATGACTTGAATCTTATTGATTGTGCTGAGCGCAGGAGATTTCCGTTATGATTTCGGATTATTGAAGGTTTGACTTGCCTTTCTGATCATGGCTGAATTTGACATCTTCACCTGTTCCGCCTGACATTGAAAGGATGCTGTCTGAATGTCTGTCTGTCTGTTTTTGACATAGAACTTTGCACAAATGTGCGGAACTTCAAGTCATCACACTCCGTGTAGCACGCGAAGCAAGAGAAGAAAGTACAAGAAAAGCATAATAGAAACAGTGAGCAGAGGTGTGAGACAAAGGAGGAGTAATAACGAGGAACAAAACAGTTTCATTGAAGATCATAAGTCACAGGGAGTGGATGCATCTGCGCCACTGAGAACGATTTTGAACCATGTCACCAATTGTTTCCAACCATAGATTTTTACCGTCCCGAGGACCCCAGCCTGGAAGTCTTCACCTTCCTACGTGGCTTAGACCAACTGTTGTGGATTTCATTGACTGGTGCCAAGTTTTTGTTTGACCGCCGCTAGCTTTTTTCCAGACTGGCCCTACATCCGCTAACATTGCTCGTCGAGGAAGGCGATGATCAGGCATACGTAACACATGTCCTAACCATCTCAGTCTTTGCAACTTCACGACTTCGTCGACTGATTTCCCCTGTTTACCTAGAACTCGACGCTTAACCTCGAGTTGCTGCCTGGATAAGTGAAAGAAATGACATTCTTCAAACTCCTCCCGCTCGATGAAGTGATTTTTTGTGCGTATTGTTGTTGGTCGGTGGGTATCTTCACTGTCACCTGTGTTTTCTCTGTATCATCACCTAGAGTCTCATCTTTGCGGCAAGCCTCTTCTGTTTATTTGTTTTTGCCTATAGATCTTCCATTTGGTACGACATTAGACACTAGTTTATCATTCGTCTACATGGGTCGACTGTAATGAAATGGTGATCTGGTCAGCGGTTGGAGATCAAGTAACTCAAATGGTACTGCACATGACAAGTAATTAAGAGGCTGATGGTCAGAATCTTACTGTGAACCAGATTTCCACTCCACCATCAGCCACCACGCAAAACATCAATAAAATTCTGCCAGACAAAGATCATCACAGATAGTTTTATCGCAGTTGACTAAATATTTGTAGATCATGTTAACAGTTTTTCGATGATAATAGTACAAGTTTTCAATAATTGGTTTGTAAGGATTAGATTTGTTTTGAAGAGTTGTTTACGGATCAATATCAGTTAGAGAACCATTGAAAACCAGTGTTAGAGTACTAGACAGCCGTTTTATCCTAGTTTTGGAATCACTGGCAGTATGTACCCACTGGGGTTCGAACCCAAGACATTCCGCTTACAAGTCAGGCTGGCTTGCATACCATTCAGCTACTGGGACCCGATTCAATGGTTAGCGCATGAAATATAACTTCTATCACTTCATGATGCATTTAGCTTGCACACCAGACAATGTCATTGCGAGGGAAATCCATCCATCCTCATGTGGTGAGAGCTGGCTGTTAGTCAAATTGGTGGACAGTAATTTACCTCAATGTTTATGTCCCCAATATTGCTCGTGAAAAAAATGAGAACAAAGGCTTTGCGTAGGCGGATACAGCTAACATATAGATGATCTGAAATTCAGGGAACAGCCATAAAGAGATGCAAGGTTAACTTTCTGTGAGAGACGGCCAATCAGGAGACTGTGTCTTTCTGCTAACAATAATCTGTCATATGTACATGAAAATCTATAAATATGTGTTGATTTCCTTAATAAACGATCTGTTCCCTGGCCCTTGTCTTCTGTCGCTACACTTACTCCCAACTGGATGAACCTCACTGGTCACGACTTCTCATTAAGACTCCAGGAAACTCCGTCCTGTAGCAAGTCATTAGTGAGCATCAGATTAATTTTCAATACTTTGGCGATGGAATCGTTTCCCAGTGGCTAAATGGTATTCGAGCTGACCTTGCAGCCGGAAGGTCCTGGGTTCGAACCCCAGTGGGTACGTACCGCAAGTGATTCCAAAACTAGATAAAACAGCGGTCCAGTACTCCAATACTGGTTTTCAATGGTGTTCTCTAACTGATATTCATCCGTGATCATCTCGTCAAAATAGTATAAGTAATCATTTTGAAATAATAGAAAAGATTTGTAACTCAGGTGGATGATTTGCAATTGATAGTGTTCTCTGAGCTCCTTGTTTAATTGTGGAGCTTTCATCGTCTTTCTGGACGACATCTTCAGTGCAGTATTTAGGATAAAGTGAAATGATTTAAATTTCTTCATGAGTCTCCCGGTAACCATCTTTAGATATTTATTGACCGTTTTCTATTGATTGGATTTTAAACTTCCTGATCACCTGATTTACAGTTGACAAAAAACCCTATACAAACATTCGATAACAAAATCAGAATAACGTTAAATAAACTAACGAAATCAGGACAAATTACAGAACAAGATCAATGGCGAATGAGATCTAACGGACCCATTTTACCTCGATTTTATGGTAGACCAAAACTACACAAACCGAACATCCCCTTACGACCAATCGTTTCGCTTCCAGGAACACCAACATATAATCTATCTAGAGAACTTTTCAGGAAGTTAAATTACCTAACAGAATCATGCGACCATTCTATCAATTCGTCAATTCAATTTCTAGAGAAAATCAAAAACATTCAGGTAGAAGACAATGAAATAATGGTGTCCTTTGATGTCACAGCATTATATACTTCGATTAGTCCAAAACTAGCAACAGAAACTATGCAACGATTACTCTATAGTGATGAAAACATAAAAATGCAATGTTCAACTTGGATAGAACTCATAAAATTATGCCTTACAACATACTTCCAATTTAATACTCAAATATATGAGCAAATAAAGGGAGCACCAATGGGATCGCCCATATCAGGATTAATAGCTGAAGCCGTTATGCAAAGATTAGAATTAATAGCTCTACCTATAATTAAACCGAAAATCTGGGTACGTTACGTTGATGATACATTTGTAATAATTAAGAGAAATGATTTAGAATATACCCATAAATTAATAAACAACATATTTGAAGACATCAAATTCACAAGAGAAGAAGAGTTAGATAACAAAATCCCATTTTTAGATGTCTTAATCAGGAGAACCAACACAGGAAATTTAGAAACACAAGTATACAGAAAGTCAACGCACACAGATCAAATACTCAACTATACTAGCAACAATCCAATTACTCACAAAAGAAACTGTGTGCAGACATTGTTTAGAAGAATTCAAACACATTGTAGCACACCAGAGTTGAAAAGAATGGAAGAAAAATACTTACAAACGGTGTTCAAGAAGAATGGTTATCCAAAAAATTTCATCAAAAAGTGTTTAAAATCGAATGAAAGCACCAACAAAGAACCATCACCAAAGACCAAAAAGCAATTCATCCTACCATATATCAGAAACATCTCTGAAATAACGGCTAGAATAATGAAACCGTTTGATATAGATGTAGCACACAAACCAGCTGAATCGCTTAATTCCATCTTATGCAAACCAAAAGATCCGATAGAAAAGGGAGATAAAATTAACACCATTTACAAAATAAATGAACTGTAACAAACATTACATCGGCCAAAGTGGGCGTCCCCTTCGAATAAGAATCCAGGAACACAAATCAGCCGTGAAAAGACATGATATAAATTCTTTAGTATCAATACATTCAGACGATCATGGACATCAATTTGATTGGGATAATGTCAAAATCTTAAACAGAGGAAACACCAAATGTGCCAGGGAATTCCTAGAAGCCTGGTACTCAAATGAAAACGCAATTAATAAACACGTTAATATAGATGAAATATACCAACTAATAAGAAGTAAATCAGGTGATCAGAAAGTTTAAAATCCCAATCAATAGAAAACGGTCAATAAATATCTAAAGATGGTTACCGGGAGACTCATGAAGAAATTTAAATCATTTCACTTTATCCTAAATACTGCGCTGAAGATGTCGTCCAGAAAGACGATGAAAGCTCCGCAATTAAACCAAGGAGCTCAGAGAACACTATCAATTGCAAATAAGTAATGATTATTCATTACCCCCACACGAGGTACAATACAGTATCAAAAAAGCATACCAACCCTTGAAGTCACCTATATACATAACCAACCCTCTTCTCCTAACTCTAAGCAAATTAAAAAGGATAGCGTCTACACTATTTCTACACTTCTAAAAGTTTTGTTTAGTGTTTATATGTTTGTGAATTGTGCTACTGGCAAGAATTACTAGCAGAATGTAGACACAGAGTGATCGGAAGTAGCCAAAATTGAAGTCAATGGCTACAAAAGTAGAAGCATCTACTTCACAAATCTGGAACTGGTTTACGTTGTAGTCAGGAAATAATCTCAGGGTTTAACCCTCTGGAAATCAGCAACCAATCAG